ACATGGGCATGACCTCAGGACACCTCCCCTTTCCCCCCTGCATTCCAAAAAAGGGACGCATCCTTTTACTACTTTCCAGAAAAGCGCGCGTTTCTCCTGTCACAGACAAAGACACAGAACTTACACAGACAATTCATAAGACAATCATTTAAAATCATTGAAAGTATTGGAGCAATATACTCCCAAATAATATGCTTTCTGTTTGTTGTGTTATTGAAACCATGATATCCTAATCTTTGCCTTATAACTTTTCCTTTTAGTTATTACGATTACTGTGTATGCAAAATACCTGTTATTTGAGCTTGAATGAAAGCTTATTTTATGTGAGAAACTTTGGTATGAATGAGAAGTGGGAAGTATGTACAATACTCGCATTAGGAAACTTTATAAAAGTATCAACCAAATCTTCGCAAAGATTTTTCTCCACATAATAAATTGGAGCCTCATGTTAATGAATGTAAGCTCCGCCTTGCAAGAAGTCGATTTGAAGATCGCGGGCCGGGCTTATGCCGCGGATCAAAACCCCAATGAAAGACAGACTCGAGTGCTTGCTTGCTTCTTCGTTATTGAAACCATGATATCCTAATCTTTGCCTTATAACTTTTCCTTTTAGTTATTACGATTACTGTGTATGCAAAATACCTGTTATTTGAGCTTGAATGAAAGCTTATTTTATGTGAGAAACTTTGGTATGAATGAGAAGTGGGAAGTATGTACAATACTCGCATTAAGAAACTTTATAGAAGTATCAACCAAATCTTCACAAAGATTTTTCTCCACATAATAAATTGAAGCCTCGTGTTAATGTATGCACGCTCCGCCTTGCAAGAAGTCGATTGGAAGATCGAGCCATGGGACGGACTTATGACGAGGATCAAAAACCCAATGCAACACAGACTCGAGTGCTTGCTTGCTTCTTCGCCTTTCGCCGTGTTAATAGCACTCCAACCTGTACTCACACGCTTACCACCAGAGCGATTGGCCATCCAAAACTCAAACACTTCAGTTGCAACTTCGTGATTGCTAGAGATCTTCAAGAACTTAAAGTCTTGCAAACTCAGACTTTTCAGCAGAACTGCTCAAGCCTCTGCGTCATCAAGAAACCAACCAATCTCCGGAGGGCTTCCAAAAAGGGACGCCATCCTGACGTCATCTCAGTAACCAATCAGCAACGGAATTCCCTCAAGCAGCCAAACAAGGAAACTCAGCTTTTCAGCTGTCACCCAAAAACGCAAGTAAACAAGCTAAATCTTCTATCTGCTGAACTGGTGCCGAGATAATTTTAAGCAGTAAACCTAAGCAAAGTCTCTGCTTTGTGATTTTCTCAGGTTGCAAGTAAAAGAACTGTAGCTAATATCTTGCTAAAACTTTGGGCTTTCCTCAGAACTCTGTTAACATCATTCTTCAGAACTGTATGTGTGTGTGTTTTAGCTTAGTTTAATGTAATCTAGAATAGCCAATAAATTCTTGTTTTCATTTATAAAGAAGTATTTTCTGGTGTCATGTAATTTTAAAGTCAAACCTTGCCAAGATCACGTTACCTCGCTAGAAGCTTACAAAGTATCGTAAGTGTATTGACCTGTGGCCAAGGAAAAATACAAATAGTCAAATTGTTAAAATTACACGGACGTTAACGTCTCGCTGGACGAAAAGTTGATTAAAGTGTAAACTATCAAATTTGAAATCAGTTCTAATCAGGTTGACTTCGAATTTTCAGATTCGAGTCCTCTCAAAACCTGAGTTAGAATAATAATTAATTCCCTAAGGAAAGTAATCTGACATTACAACATGTTCCATGACCTTTGTTCGCTGTCAGGCAACTAAATGTATGTTTTTGATTATTTGATTAATATTTTACTAATTGTCTGGTCTGGTATGTTTTTTTAGCCTACAATCTAGGTATGAGTTATTTTATTAATCCATAATGGAGTCTTTTGTGCTTCATGTATGGTTAATGTTTTTTCAGCATGCTTGCATATACCTTTTGAAGGTTGTGTGTTGTCTGTGTGCTTGCATGGCTGATTGTGTGAAAATGTTGATTGTTGTTATAGTGTTAGTACTGTTGTCATGATGCTTTTTGTTTATTGTTCTTGATATTTGAAAGGGTTTTGAAACATCTTCCCAAAGGACTGCAGTTGAAGATTAGCCGACTGGCTAACACTGGCCAGTGTTATGTGTTATGTGTAACACATTTACAGAAATGTTGATTAATGTGTGTTGTCCTTATAAATAAATAAACAATAAACAAACAAACAATGTGAATTTCAAAATGTCAAAATGTACTCTAAGATTGGCTTATTGAATCACTGACTCATTTAAATTTGTTCATGAACATTGAATCATTCAGGAATGCAGGAATGACCTGTTGATCAGTGCTGCAATGATTGGTGAAATAGAGCAAAGCAATCCACAGTGACAATATTGTCTCTAAAATGTCCGTCACTTAATATTAACTTGAACATAACATTAACATTTTTTTTTATTTATTGTATAAAGTATAAAACAGTGATCTTAAAAGGAGGACAAATGAGCATCTGGATCAAGTCTGCGCTGGTAAAGGAACAAGGTGTTTCAAAACCGTACTTTCCAATGTGAACCTGCACGGATGGCTACACTAGCAGCAGATTATATCAGAAACACTGTTGTATTTATAAGGGTCTTAGAGCATTCTGTCCACATTCAGCCCCTTGAGTAACCTGAAATCTGCTCCATAAATCAGTTTTCAGTTTTGATTTGGCCTGTAATATTATCACAGAGTTATAAAGGGACTGTTAAACATGGATTTTTGACATTATATATTCCAAAAAGCCTAAAAGAATAGAAATTTATTTCTTCTGTCTTTTCCTTCTTTCAAACACACATTCTCATTGACTCAAACACTCATTCAATCATCACTCACACATACAGATGATTTTTATGGTCTCTCATTGCTGTGGATCAGCTGCCAGCACTAATTAAGCATCCTTAAGCTCATCAGTGGCTTGAGCTTCACACATGCAGCAGCAGAGGGAGACAGAGAGACAGAAAACCCATCCAAAACCACATATTTTTGCAGGCTTTGAGTCGCACCTCAAGGCCCTGTCCACACGAATGCGGCTATTTTTAAAAACACAGCTTTTTCTACGGGGTTAGGCTGTTCGTCCACACGCAAACGCAGCACCAGGTCACTGAAATGGAACATTAAAATTACACGGACGTTAACGTCTCGCTGGACGAAAAGTTGATTAAAGTGTAAACTATCAAATTTGAAATCAGTTCTAATCAGGTTGACTTCGAATTTTCAGATTCGAGTCCTTTCAAAACCTGAGTTAGAATAATAATGATTAATTCCCTAAGGAAAGTAATCTGACATTACAACATGTTCCATGACCTTTGTTCGCTGTCAGGCAACTAAATGTATGTTTTTGATTATTTGATTAATATTTTACTAATTGTCTGGTCTGGTATGTTTTTTTAGCCTACAATCTAGGTATGAGTTATTTTATTAATCCATAATGGAGTCTTTTGTGCTTCATGTATGGTTAATGTTTTTTCAGCATGCTTGCATATACCTTTTGAAGGTTGTGTGTTGTCTGTGTGCTTGCATGGCTGATTGTGTGAAAATGTTGATTGTTGTTATAGTGTTAGTACTGTTGTCATGATGCTTTTTGTTTATTGTTCTTGATATTTGAAAGGGTTTTGAAACATCTTCCCAAAGGACTGCAGTTGAAGATTAGCCGACTGGCTAACACTGGCCAGTGTTATGTGTTATGTGTAACACATTTACAGAAATGTTGATTAATGTGTGTTGTCCTTATAAATAAATAAACAATAAACAAACAAACAATGTGAATTTCAAAATGTAGAAACTGTCTCTAAGATTGGCTTATTGAATCACTGACTCATTTAAATTTGTTCATGAACATTGAATCATTCAGGAATGAAACACCACCCTGTTGATCAGTGCTGCAATGATTGGTGAAATAGAGCAAAGCAATCCACAGTGACAATATTGTCTCTAAAATGTCCGTCACTTAATATTAACTTGAACATAACATTAACATTTTTTTTTATTTATTGTATAAAGTATAAAACAGTGATCTTAAAAGGAGGACAAATGAGCATCTGGATCAAGTCTGCGCTGGTAAAGGAACAAGGTGTTTCAAAACCGTACTTTCCAATGTGAACCTGCACGGATGGCTACACTAGCAGCAGATTATATCAGAAACACTGTTGTATTTATAAGGGTCTTAGAGCATTCTGTCCACATTCAGCCCCTTGAGTAACCTGAAATCTGCTCCATAAATCAGTTTTCAGTTTTGATTTGGCCTGTAATATTATCACAGAGTTATAAAGGGACTGTTAAACATGGATTTTTGACATTATATATTCCAAAAAGCCTAAAAGAATAGAAATTTATTTCTTCTGTCTTTTCCTTCTTTCAAACACACATTCTCATTGACTCAAACACTCATTCAATCATCACTCACACATACAGATGATTTTTATGGTCTCTCATTGCTGTGGATCAGCTGCCAGCACTAATTAAGCATCCTTAAGCTCATCAGTGGCTTGAGCTTCACACATGCAGCAGCAGAGGGAGACAGAGAGACAGAAAACCCATCCAAAACCACATATTTTTGCAGGCTTTGAGTCGCACCTCAAGGCCCTGTCCACACGAATGCGGCTATTTTTAAAAACACAGCTTTTTCTACGGGGTTAGGCTGTTCGTCCACACGCAAACGCAGCACCAGGTCACTGAAATGGAACATTTTTGAAAATGCCTGCCAGGGTGAAGATTTTCAAAAACTCCGGTTTCAGTGTTATCATGTAGACAGAGAAACCGGAGTTTTTGGCTTGTGACGTCGGAGCCTGTGCTGTTATCTCTGATTGGCCAACATGGCTTTACGGTTGAGATTATATCGCCAACCGTTGGTTTAGCATGCTCTTGACAGTGCTTCACAGCATGCGTTTGCGTTTTCATGTGGACGGAGATTTTTTTAAAAATGGTAGAAGGAAAAACTCCTTCGTTTTTAAAAATACCCATGTATGTGTGGACATGGCCGATTTGTATGCATGGTAAATCGTAGCTCCATGAATCCAGTAAGACAAACACACTGAAACACATTCAGAGACACTGAGCAGCAGGTAAAGGAAACATCAAGAGCAGCTCGATTAGTTTAAACACCTCGTTTACTGTTTTTCTGACCTTATATCCCTCCACTGTCGACTCGTTGGTCAGCGGCTCCACCTGCTCCCAGGCGATGTTGATCGTCGTGCCGCTAAAAAACGGTAGAAGGAAAAACTCCTTCGTTTTTAAAAATACCCATGTATGTGTGGACATGGCCGATTTGTATGCATGGTAAATCGTAGCTCCATGAATCCAGTAAGACAAACACACTGAAACACATTCAGAGACACTGAGCAGCAGGTAAAGGAAACATCAAGAGCAGCTCGATTAGTTTAAACACCTCGTTTACTGTTTTTCTGACCTTATATCCCTCCACTGTCGACTCGTTGGTCAGCGGCTCCACCTGCTCCCAGGCGATGTTGATCGTCGTGCCGCTGTAGTTCATCTTTGTGCCGATGATTTTAGGAGGCCGACTAGGAGCTGAGAAAAACAATACAATAAGATCAGAAACAGTAACATAAATGCCAATTATTTATTTTTAACATAAAATTTACTCTTTTTTTCCCCTCACAAAGTAAAAATGTGTCCTAAAAATGTGTTTGGACTCCTATGAGACTTACGTGCTTTCTTGGTGTAGATTTTGTGGCGCTGGCTGGCGGGTCCGTAGCCGGCGCCGTTATACGCCCGCACCTCGATGAGGTAATGTGAGTTGGGCTTCATGTTGTCCAGACGCGTGTGGTTTTCTCGACTGGGAACCAGAACACGTTGTGCAGATGCCTCGTTCTCCACCGACTCCCTCCAGTACCGGACCTGAGAGAGAACACCCGCACCAGGCCAGAAATTAACACACTATCATAGTTTATATTCATATTTTAAATTAGGCATTATTTTGACATTTTCCATTTTAATTTTAGTTGAGATTTTAGTAGTTTTGTTGTTTTATATATTTTTAATTAATTTACATTTTATTTAACTGTCTGTATAGTTTTTATTATTTTTTATTTATTAGTCTTAGTTTACTTAGTTATTTTAGTACATACAACATCTTGGCAAGTACATATTTCTAATATTTCAAGTGTTTCTTCTTTTTTAAAATCAGTATAATTTTTTTTTTCATTTTTATTTGAGTTTTAGTTATTTTAGTTCAGTTTTAGTTTAGTTATTTTAGTTTACTTCAAAGTAAATGAGAACGGTTGCCTTGCCAACTAGTTGAATATTTTTTTATTAAGTTTTTTTTATAGTTTCAGTTTTATTTAATGATAATAACCCAGCTGGTAAATTAACAACTTTAGATATCAGGAAGTGAACTTGAGATGTGTGATAGGATAGTCTGATGTGATTGGTTCATTCTGGGGTTAATGGTGAACTAGCACTTTGGTACCTGGTATGCTTCAACCGTCTGCAGCTGTAGAGGCACCCAGGACACGACGGCTTCTGTGGCTGACAGCGTCCTCGCCTCGATGATGGTGGGAGCTTCCGCAGGAACTGAGATGGAAACACACGTCAGTAATGTCGCTAGTTCACATGGTTTATTTCTGTAAATCTGCAGCCGTGTGTCACCCACCATCCTGAGCAGAGTAGATGAAGGCGCTGACGCTGAACGGCCCTTCACCCTGACTGTTAAAGGCCTTCACCTTCACCTCAAACCTGGTGGACGGGGGGATTTTCGAGTCTTTGTGGATGTACTTTTGGGCCTGAGGATCGGTCACTGTCACCCTCATCCACTCGGGGTCTTTATGAGGCTTGAATGCGATGATGTAGCCAAAATTACTGGCGTAGTAGTACTGTGGCTGGACTGGCTGCAGACGCAAACCACATCAAGAAACTTAACTTTAAATGTTATGTTTAAATATACAAATGATGCATTATCATTATATCATGTGCACTAGTTTGCATACATTTCCAGAGCAGAAACATGAACATTGGTTCAAAATTCTTTAGATAATTCTAAGTTTTGGTGTATGTTAGTGCTGCTGAAGAGGAGAAACAAACTCATGACCTTTAAATATATGCATTTTCACCATGTTTAAGGAATAAAATGTTGTATAAATCAGTGTGAATGAAATATGAAGAAACCCCTCAGTAAAAACCTTCAGAATATAGAGAGGAATAAAACTCTAAGTTTCGGTGTGTGCAAGTGCCGCTGAAGTGGAGAAACAAACTTTTAAAGATATGGGTTGGAATTAAAACCTACAGACGCAAACAGATAAAATGTCATAAAATAAACACTTAAATGTGTATTTTAGATAATTTTTCACTAGTCTGAAAGCAGACGTGTCATAGAACTAGAAAATAGACCAAAATTGTAAAATTGACAAATGCATGAAAAAACAATGTTTTTAACTGTAGTGCTTGCCTTAAATTTTTATTGGTCTCAATCAACTGTTTTTGTTTTTTCAGTTTTAAACCAAATTAAAAGCAAACTACACAGATAAAACAAAGTAAAGTGTTACGTGAAATTGAAAGAGAGAGCTGCATTTTGCTGGGATTTGGAGAGGGATTTTTCTGATTTCTAGAATACACATGACACTGGTCTTCATGTGAGAAACATGAGCACTGGTACCGTCCATGTGATGGTGAGCTCACGGCTGGTTCCTCCTCCTCCACCGATGTCTGACGGAGCCACAACAGGCCCTACAGAGAGAGAGAGAGAGAGAGAGAGAGAGAGAGAGAGAGAGTTGAGATTTCAAGCCACTTTTATTACAATATACAACAGTTACAAGTTCAATCCAACATCAGTCACATAATAAAATACAAACACTTTATATTAAAAAAAAACAATCCATCATCAGAAATCTCACACAAAGCTCCTTTTAAACACCAAATCAGCTCAAACTTTGCAAGATCATTCATCAATTTATAATAATTAAAATCTATTAAAATTCTGCATTTAACTGAATTAGCAAACACTGCATTTAAATCATTACAAACCCCATGCTCATTTTTTTCTTTTCTTGTAATGTAAATTGCCATTTTAGCATGTCCCAATATAAAATTAAACAACTGACACTGATACTTGCGACTCTGTGAGTATTTAAAACCACAAATGAATTTCTTCATTGAAAAACACTAATTAAAACAATAAAAAATGTTACTCAAAACATTAAATAAAGATGTCAGTCTAGAACACTGCATAAACACATGGAAGACAGTTTCCCTTTGTGAACAAAAAGAACAATTTTGATCAACATCCTGATTAATTACAGAAACAAAAGCGTTCACTGCAAT